AGTCGTCAGATTGTAACTCCCGATGTTGATTGTGAAGGCTGTTGAATTGGGGCTTTCATTAGTTGTTGTGAAGGTCGTCAGATTGTAGCATTCTATGTGAAAGTCCTCAAATTGTAGCCTTCTGGAAGTCGTCAGATTGTAACTTCCATCATCGGTATTTGATGGGGGATCAACTATCTATTGTGATTTTTAGACAGCCTACAGTAAGAAAGTCTTATAAAAAGACTAATTTTACTTTGAATTTGTAATCGATAAACATGTAATGGATTCAGCAATGAAGATATCAACTTTCACCGCAAACAATTATCTGCTTCTAGAGCTATTTTTTCTATTCTTTTCTTTTTTTTGACGAAAAGAGCAATTTTTTTCTTATCTGGGTTGTTGCCACACTATGATGCTTGCTTGAAGAGAAGTAATAGGGAGTTTAAGCAGCTTCGGTATGAACTATATAAGGTTTCGGTGCATGCATATGTCAACAAAACCACTTATCCAAAGGTTGTTTTCTTTTAAGAGTTCTAATACTAGTGATTTTGTCTCACGGCAGCCTCTGTCTCACTGCTTTTATATAATAATAGTTATTTGCACCTTATACCCAAAATTTCTAAATTTCTTTAATAATTTGATAGCCCAACATGCATGAAACTTTTATTAAAATTAGTTCACTCATGTTAAGTCTAATTGGGTTCATGTTACTTCTAACTCAGTTCCTGTTAGTTCTAACTCTGTTCCTGTTAGTTCTAAATTAGAACTAACTATTTAGAACTAACAGAAACTGAGTTAGAACTAAAAGGAACTGAGTTAGAACTAACATGAACCCAATTAGACCTAACAACTAAAACTAACATGAAATAAAACTAACACGAACACGAAATAAAACTAAAACCTAATATGAGCTTTTGAAAATTTCTGCTCTTAATCTCTTATATAGAACTAACGTTTATATTAGAAATAACACTACATGGAAGTTAGAACTAACATGACATCAGCTAAAACTACCATGAGAACCACTAGATCTGGAAGTTAGTTCTAGCTTATTCAATGTTAGTTCTGGTTTATGTACAATTAGTTCTAGCCCATCTCGTGTTACCTCTAGCCCCAGCCCACGTTATTCTTTTCACAATTATTAGTACTAGTTGCTACGTTAGTTTTGGCTGATTCAATGTTAGTTCTGATTTATGTACAGTTAGTTCTAGCACATCTCGTGTTACCTCTAGCCCCAACCCACTTTATTCTTATCACAAGTGTTGGTTATAGTTAGAACTAACATAGCCACTAGAACCAACACTTACACTAGAATTAACGCTAGATGGAGTTAGAACTAACACGAGGACAGCTAGAACTAACACCACAACAATCAGAACTAACAATAACTTAGCTAAAACTAACATGACCACTAGAGCCGACAATTACACTAGAACTATCGCTAGATTGAGCTAGAATTAACACGAGAACAACTGGAACTAACACCACAACAACTAGAACTAACAATAACTCAGCTAGAACTAACATAGTCAATAGAACCAACACTTACACTAGAACTAACGCTAGATGGAGCTAGAACTAACACGAGGATAACTAGAACTAACACCACAACAGTCAGAACTAACAATAACTTAGCTAGAACTAACATGACCACTAGAACCGACAATTACACTAGAACTATCGCTAGATTGAGCTAGAATTAACACGAGAACAACTAGAACTAACACTACAACAACTAGAACTAATAATAACTCAGCTAGAACTAACATAGCCACTAGAACCAACACTTACACTAGAACTAACGCTAGATAGAGCTAGAACTAACACGAGAATAACTAGAACTAACACCACAACAATCAGAACTAACAATAACTTAGCTAGAACTAACATGGCCACTAGAACCGACAATTACACTAGAACTATCGCTAGATTGAGCTAGAATTAATACGAGAACAACTAGAACTTGTTGGCCTTTTTGTTTTGATGATGTTTAACAAACAATTTACCACTAATGTTATTTGTCTAGTATTTGTGTTTTCTTATTTATTATAGACAAACAACGTAGTTGGAGGATGGATGAAATCGAGCCTTAATGATCATATCAAATGGAGGTTGGCGGAATTGTGGAGTGAAGCAAATTCAATTCAAGTTAAAGATCCAATTACAAGCTTCTTCTACAAAGTTTACCAAGTCATGCTCATTGAAGACCTTCATCAAGCTTGGGTATATTTAGTATAGGTTTATATTATGTGTGTTTAATACTCTAAGCTCAATATCATATACACACACAATATTGGATTTTCTCACAAAATGAGCTATTTTGAGAAAACTTTGTGATATTGTTTTATTGACCATGTTTACTTTATATTCATGTGTTATAATATTTATGAAGATATTTCATAAAGTTTCAATATGCGTTTAAACTCTTTTTGTCAAAAATATGTTCTTAACAAATTCATATTCATGCATGTTTTTACAAAATAATGAGTTTTCACAATTAAGAAATGAAAATTGAGAAATTCTTTTTCTAACATGTTTGTTTTTATGTTTATAAACATTTCGCAAAGTTTCATCAAGTTTGGAATTAATTTGTTATGTTTAATGGAATTTACAAAATCATGTTTTTCGTTCGTGCATGTTCGTGCATGTTTTACAAAACAGATGAGTTTTCATAAATGGGAAGTGATATTCAAGAAATTCTTTCTTTGACATGTTTATCTACATGTTTAGAAACTTTCCTCAAAATTTTACTATTTTTGGAGTTAATTTACTGTGTCAAATTGATTTTACAAAATCGTGTATGTCTGTAGTTTTTCAGAAGCTGTAAATCTGTGTTCTAACATTTATTTCTCTCAACTGGGATATTCTTTTTCAGAAATTCTTTCTCTAACATTTCATTCTACACGTCTATAACCTTCCCACAAAATTTCATATTTTTTGGAGCTGTTTTACTATTTTTAATTGATTTTACAAAACTGAAACACAGTACTACAGTACCCGCGGTCGACCGGTACGGTCGACCGCCAAACTCTCTGGACGTGGTTACTGTAGCACAACGGCTATATTTTCCAGATTTTGATATATCCATTTTTTGTCTTTTTGCTTAGTTTTCTTGGGTTTTTGGGCTTGTTTCATGAGCCTATATATACTCCATGCCATCATACTTCTAAGGGCACTCAAGAAATGTTTTAAACAAGTTTAAAGAGTTTTAAACAAGGGTTTAAGTGTGTTAGTGTTTGTTTTTGAGAGATTGTAACATTGAGTTGTGCTTAATTGAGTTCTCATCTATTGTAGAGAACAAATTTATATTTGTTATATTGTGAGTGTTGTAAGGTTTTCGGTGAGCTAGAAAACCGAGTGTGTTGTGAAGTTTTCGGTGAACTAGAAAACCGAGTGTGAGGAGTGAACGTTGTTCGGTGAGCTAGAACTAACACCACAACAGATAGAACTAACAATAACTAAGCTAGAACTAACATAGCCACTAGAACCAACACTTACACTAGAACTAATGCTAGATGAAGTTAGAACTAACACGAGGATACCTAGAACTAACACCACAACAGCCAGAACTAACAATAACTAAGCTAGAATTAACATGGTCACTAGAACCGACAATTACACATGAATTAAGTTAGAACTAACATGAATTAGAACTAGAACTAACATGAAGTGAGTTAGAACTAACAAAGAGTCCAAGGCCCAAGGCCTAATCAAAGACATTCAAATATATATTGTAGCTGCAGGGGTTTGAACTCCTGACCTCCTCTCCAAATTCCCAAGCTTTACCACTAGATCAAGTAGCTAAAATATTAATGTTAGTTCTACTTAAAGTTAGCTTTAACATGAATTAGAACTAACATGAAATAAGTTAGAACTAACATTAAATAACTTAGAACTAACATAAGTTATTGCTCGTGATAGAGTTTAAAAAAGGGCGGGAAATTTCCCTCCATTTTTCAGTCAGTTCGCATTAATAGGATACGATTTTCCATGTTTTTGGGGACCAGATGTCTAGGGAGGATAAGTGAAGGGGTAATTTCGGTTTTTTTAAAAATATAATCTTTTTTTGCACTACTGACCTAGAGGGGCCTTGAAATATTAAATGATATTTTTTGGGGCTGAATCACATGTGCCAAAATACAAAGGGTCTGGTCACATGAATTCCTTACTTTTGGGGCCTGGACACATTTTTCCCTATAATTTATGTATTTTTATGATATAATATCTTAATTTATACATTTCTTACTTGTGAACAAGAAAAGCAAATGACAGTTCAAGTCTTAAGGATACAGTACGAGATTGTAAGAAGTGCATTGGTAAATGAAGAAAAGTGAGAAACCATGGTAGTATGCAATAACCATGGTACTACACAATCACATTAAAACCACATATATTATTTAGCTAGTTCAATTGTTCATGTCAAATGTAACTCGTGTCGTTCAGATTTAAATTGAAGATTAGCAGTTACTAAAAAAAAGTATGCTTTTAAGCAATTATAAATAAGCATAGCTTTCTAATATACAAGAGAACAAATTTATTCTAGTTTAGTTCTACTCTAAAAAGTGGGATAAATTCAGAAACTAGAACTGATCTTTTCTATATAGCATGGATTATATAGCATTGACGAAAAGTGAAATAGTTTTTTACAATTATCCCAGTTCTATTTTTGTACCAAACCTAATTGAATAACACTTTAAAATTTTATCCTAATAAAAAATTCTAATCGACTAATACCATATAAATTTATCCTATAAATTATCTCAATTCTAGTTTATAGTTCCGCTTGACTAAAAACTCCAAACAAAATTGTAATTGATCTAACCAAAGCAAGACCAAAAAGGGCTTGCTTAAACGTAACTTTAACTCGTGATGTGGAAGCATAGATTTTGATTACTCTCCTCCAACAGATCTCAACCGTCGGATCAAAGCGTTTCACTTTCATTCCCGAGTCATCAAATGCAGTCATCTAACACGCTTATTAATCATCAAACCCCACATTTTCTTCGACCTCCACGTTTCTTTTTAATTTTTTTTTATTTTCTGGGCAACTTATATTTAAAAAAAAAAGAGCAATTTGCTGCTGCTGAAAGCTGGGGGATTATCATCACTCAGCTTTCAGTGGGCATCGAATTCTGTTTTTGGGGTAATAAAATCCTTATTCTAATTTTAGTGGGTATAAAGTCAACTAGAGAAAAGAATTGGGTTTTATTCTTATTCACTCTCACCTCTTATTTTCCCACCATCTCTAGGGTTTCATTTCCTTGATTGTATCGCCGAAATGGGTTTGTCTCTGCTCGAGGTTTGTTCATCGCCATGATCTTTTATTTTTGTTTTTATGATTAATTACGTGTTTGATGAATTTACTTTGGTTTTTTCTTACTTAATCTTAGGGTTTCACCAAGTCGCTTGCGATGACTGTGCTATCTGAGATTGGGGACAAGACTTTCTTTGCTGCTGCGGTAATTTCTTATTTGTGTCTTTTTTTTGTTGTGAACCTTTTACATGATTTCTTCGCATTTTGAATTTGTTGAAGCTGAAGTTATGATCCAGCCCTTGCTTAATTCTCAAATTGGATAAAGTTTTGTGTAAGGAAATAATTTAGATGCTTAATTGATGCATTAGACTTATTTTGACTTCTTCAAAACATAAGTCAGATGAATCCTAGGCGCAAGAATTATGTGACTCTGATGCTTTGAAGAACTGGTGTCTTTTTATTGATGAAAATACTGTCAAAATTGGTCATTATATGACAAAATTGATTATGACATGAGTTTTTGCTTCCGTTTCTTCGAAAATCTAAACTTATTGTCTTGTTTCATCCGCATTTTTTTGGAATATGAAGCTTGGTGTTGAATGTCAAAGCATAACTGTAGGAATTGTGATGGGGAGCAGCGAGGACTTCAATTTCGAGGCGAGAAATCGTCGGCGACTTGGCAGAATAGGGTTAAAATCCACGATGAAGAAGAAGGCTACCAAGATGAACAATATGCGGTTACTGTTCAAGCGTGAATAATAGCCCTTTTTTTTGGAGTTGTTTTGACTTGGTTGGATGGTGGGGATTCTTTTGGAGTGGAAATGAGTGGTGGATGATCGAGAAGGATAATTGAAAGAGAATTTTAATATGTACTAGGCATCACACTTAGGTGTCTCACACTTAAGGGCTTCACACCCTAAAGAAATTTTACATGCCAATAAGCAATTCACATGCTCGAGAGAGTTCTCAAACTCAAATTTTTTATTGATCAATTTCTATTCCTCATGGAGGATTACATTTCTTAAAGAAAGCAACTAAACATTTAAGGAAGTAAATAAAAATCCTAATCAAATCAAAATCTAATAAAACTAAAAGATGCAATCAAACAAAATCCTATCTAAAATAGAAAGAGATTTTAAAATCAAATCATAAAGAAATCCTAACTAAAAAAAAGATTACATGGGATCAAATTAAGTATTACTAAAATTAAAATTATTCTAATAGATCTTAAAATCTTTTGATGGACGATCCATGATAGTCCCGCATCAAATCTCCCCTTATTAGAGAAAACTCGATCTCGAGGTTTATAATGGGAGAATGTAATGTTTGAGTTGATTGGTGAGAAGAATTCTATTGTAGATTGCAAGATCTTCAAGATGAGCTCTGGGTTTGATTCAAGCTCGAGCGTTAGTCGACCTGTTGCTTTGTTTTTGGTTCCAACTTTTGTTTAAGCTTGGGCTCTAGATCTATTTTTTGATTTGCTTCTTCTAACTGTAGTTCATGCTCGTACTCTAGATTGATCTTTTGATTTACATCTGATTTTGGCTCACGCTCAGATTCGGGCTTTGATTCTTGATTAAATTTTTGATCGTGCTCTGCTTTCTCGTCTGACTTGAGTTGAGGCTTCGGATCTAGATTGAAATCAAATTTTGATTGAAGATCCACATTTGGCCGGGATTGAGGAATTTATGTTGGCTTTGCTTTAGATTTTGAAGAGAAACAATATCTTCTAGATGGTGGACTAGAGTACATTCTTTCCAAAAGAGGTTTCATAGTTATCCACGAACGGATGTTTGAATGATAATAATTTCTATACCACCAATATTTTGCCTCCCACTTTAGCCTACACTCAGCATATAAATACATTTTCAGTTCTGACAGATCATAGGTAGAAAATATATTTTTTATATTAAAAATCCAGATGTCAAATTTATAAGCCTCCTCATATCCATCAAATCCATAAAAGAAGTCCAAGGTACCAAATTTAAGTGGATTAAAATCCTACTATTGTGAAGGAGGTACCAGTATTTTACCCCTGATAACTGTGGATCCTTCGTCTCTAATACTATGATGGGGAGCGGCGCGAGGACTTCAATCTGGAGGCGAGAAATTGTCAGCGACTTGGTGGAATAGGATTAAAATCCATGACAAAAAAGAAGGCTATCAAGATGAACAGTACGTGGGTACTGTTCAACCGTGAACAATAGCTCTTTTTTGTGTGTGGACTTGTTTTGACTTGGTTGGATGGTGGGGACTCTTTTAGAAGGGAAATGAGTGGTGGATGATCGAGAAGGATAATTGAAGGAGAACTTTAAACCCAAGGGCTTCACACCCCAAAGACACTTCACATGCCAATAAGCAATATTCATGCTCAAGAGAGAATTCTCAAACTCAATATTTTTATTGATCAATTTCTATTCCTCATGGAGGGTTACATTTCTTATTTATAGAAAAAGAAAGCAACTAAACATTTAAAGTAAGTAAATAAAAATCCTAATCAAATCAAAACCTAACAAAACTAAAAGATGCAATCAAATAAAATCTTAGCTATAATAGAAAGAGATTTTAAAATCAAATCGTAAAGAAATCATAACTAAAAAAAGATTACATGAGATCAAATCAAATATTACTAAAATTAAAATTATTCCAATAGATATTAAAATCTTTTTATGGATGATCTATGATTGTCCTGCATTAAATTGTCTATACCTAAGTAACCTAACTCCTTATAACATGAAGCTCCGGTTACTTGCACAAATTGTTTCTAAAACAATGTTAACACTACCCTTCAAATCTTATATCCTAACTCGTTATCATTTTTCATGTGATTGGAAACAGTTACTAATGTTAGACCTTAACTCCAGCTGTAGTGCTGTTACTGAAAATAGCTTGCTTTTGGTCAAAGATGGCTTCATCTTCTTAACATGGAGTATTACTTTGACCCTTGACCCTAACTCAACCTGAATTTTACTTGGTGTGTGACCCTACCTGAAGATGAGTGAATCCATGCCTGGTCAAAACATCAATCCTGTATATATATATATATTACCAGGAGTTGGTTCACTTAAGATGACAACTGCTCTGGGTACTTTTGAATTTCCGTTTGGTATTGGACTATAGTGGAATGGTTTGTACTTTAGCTGTATCGAAGCCAAAGCATTTGAAAATCATCAGGTCAAAGCATTAAAACTGTAATTTTTTTTACCAGGAATGGGTTCAATGGACATGGCTACAGGTGCAGGTATTTTGAAGTTTTAGTATATTATTGAACTATAGTTGGATAATTTGTACCTGAGCTTTAGGCAAAGCTTTTGAAAACCACAGGTCAAAACATCAAACCTGTAACCCTTTAACCAGGAGTTGGTTTACTGAAGATGGCAACAATTTCGGGTACTTTGAAGTATCGAACTGTAGTTGGCTAATTTGTACTTGAGCTGAACTTAAGCCAAAGCATTTGAAAATCAGTGGAGTCCGGGTTATGGAGAGGTAATATTTGAAGCTGACCTGAACAAGCTTAGGGCAGTTTATGCCAGATAAACTGTTCCATTAGTCAATGATGCTCTCAGGATTCCTTATGTTTTTTGTTTGTTCACTTAATGCTCTTAAAAATTTGTTAATTTAGTTAATAAATTTTCTCTGTCGGCAATTTTCCTTAGAGCCATCATGGAAGTAATATTCATGTATTGTCCCTATTTTAAGTTATCACCACAGCACTAGTCAAGTAAATATCTTGGTCTTATAACTAATAGTGGCCTCGCTATAAATGTTAAGAGTGATGTAATTACATATATACTAAAGCATTGGCATCGGCAATCAGTTTGCTCCTACATGTTTCGGTTATACTTGCATAATTTGTGGACTGAAGAGCTTCTGTTGTGCGATATTTTTGTAAGATATGATTTTTTTATTGAGTCTTTGCTTATATCATGTCTATGAGATGAATGCAATTCCCTCCACATTTATTATCTTCTCATATTGTTGTGGAAATTTTCTTGTCTAGTAGAATGTTGAAAGTTTCTATGATTGGTCCATCTCTTCTCCATAGTTTGCTTCGTCAGGAATTCTGGACGAATATCAGAAATTTGACGTATCGTTGACAAAAGAACAAAATCTTGTGAAACCTTTCATTTTAGTCTATTATCTGAGTCGTAGGCTGCAAGACACCTATACAGACATCTTGTTTTTGTTTAAGTAATGAATATACTCCTCCAATTTATACCATGGGCAACATGTAGCTCTGCATATGCCTCTAGTTTGCGCTGCTGTCTAATTTCTTACGTTTACAACTACAACTTACTGATTTAACTAAAGTTGGGTTATATGTATTTGACTCATTGTATTTTAGCAGCTCAGAGTTAAACATATTCAGAAATTAAATCAGCATCCTATGTATGAGGACTCAAGTAATCTGAAATAAGAAGTCATCTCATGGCTATGTTTTCAGAATCTAGCACTTATTAACCACTAGTCATATTCTGTTGGAGATAGTGCTAGTGAGGTTAATTCTACTTCCCTTAAAAAATTAAAACAATTTTTTACATCATGTCCACCAGTTGTAAAAGCAAGTCTTAAGGTTAACTTATATTCTTATATTCATAATTGAAGTCTTCACATGCCGGTTCAGTCTAGCTCATCAAAATTGTGTACGATCTGGTATATCTTCAGTTTCTTTTCACATTATCAAGCATGTGAAAGTATTCCCGGTGGTTCCTTCTGTTGATGCCAAGGACCAAGAATTTGTATCCTTAGTTGAAATTGTCCTTCTTGTGTGGTAATTAGCATTGCTAGATTTTACTGGCAGTGCCAGGTGTAAATAAAAGAAGATTTTATTGTAGATGAGAGCCAGCATAACAACTTTGTTAGGTACCTTTTAGAATTGGAAAATACATCACAGATGGAGAAGAAAATAATTGTCTTCATTTGTAGAGTTTAGTTTGCTAATTCATAGACCTTAAGATTTGTTTGGAGCAGAACATTGCAACATGGATCTTCAGCTTTGACTGAAGGATACAGAGGAACGTAATTCGAGCTATATGGTCCATGTAATATACTGATATAGATCTCTTACAATTGAATAGGCATACACAAGACAGAAGATAACTTCAAGTTTAGCCAATTCGGCGTCTGTGCATGCCCAAATGCTGCAAACTTAAGATCAGCCTGGGATATAGGAATAGGATTTTTCTGTTGATGAAAGAAGTTAAATTCTAATTTAATCTAAAATGATTATTGGAGCTGGATGTCTGGAGCTAATGTTAAAATTGGCCTTATTTAGTTACCACCTATATCACAAAGCTTTGCTTTTGAAGCTTCATGCCTTTCCAGTGGAATACATTACATATTAAGCAGGTTTTCTTGGGAATAGATTTGTTTTATATCACTAGCGACAGCGTATCAATAGGCGATAGAAGGTACTAGAAAAAAGGTGAATTCTGATTAGAACTTTTCTCAAACTTTGGTATGTATGGAAGCATTTATGAACTTTGATTATAATTTGTTGTTTTTTTGGGTTAAAGAGCCCTTTAGAATTGATGGATGTGCTTAAAGGATCATGGCATGCATAATTACATTCGATAAGAAGTTTAGAATGTTAATAGATCTGTCAGCTCTGCACAAGAGTTGGATTTTGAGGATCCAAAACCTACTGGATCGGAAATATAGCTGTAATTGCATATTTTTGGTAGATTGGCTTCACTAAAATTTCAGAATCACTTGTCTTATATTTTGTTGATTCACTGTAAGCTGTTTATTTGTCTCAGTCTAGCTTTGCTTACCTGGAGACAGTTGCCACGTAGTGTGAAATATATTGTTTTCCCTCTCTGTCGGTATACTAGATTCAGCAGTTATGTTCTTTTTATCAATTTGGGGCTTCTTACATCCTTGACAACGCTTGTATACAGAGAGTATACACCCTTTTTATTGATTTTATTCTTTTCCATATGTTAATACTTGTTCATGGATTCTCTTGTGGAGCTTGTCTTGTTCATGGCCATCCTTCCGCACTTGCTTAGTTTTAGTAGTCGTAGATGTTGTCTTCTATTTGATCATTGAGTATAAACTGCACATGTAGCTTATGTAGCAAGCTAGTTTGGTAATTTCCACTTTCTCTAGCGTGTTACTTTGTGTGGTTAACTTTCCATTTAAGTGGAAAAATATGAAGAGTAGGCTTGATATGCTTGACATCTAATATTATAAGTCAAAAAATTCTTTCTTTGTTTCTCTCTCATTTCACTAAATTTCTTCAAATAAAATTCTTATTTGGCCTATTTCTTGAACTCTCTCTTTGTGCTTCTATGTTGCTACAGTTGAATTCTGTTGTTTGTTCTGATATAAGATTAGATCTGTGTTTGTTATGAATATCATGTTACTCCATCATATTTTTCCTGCACCTAACACTAAATTCTATTGTTTAAGATTTTGGCAATGCGTCATCCACGGAGGTTTGTCCTAACAGGCTGTTTAACGGCATTAACTGTGAGTTTTATTCCATGTAACTTGGTTTACTATAATTTATTTCCCTAGTGTAATCACTTTTTTGTTTATATTACTTACATAATATGTTGCATACAGGTAATGACAATTCTATCTGCTGTTCTTGGCTGGGCTGCCCCAAATCTGGTAAGCAAGTTGTTTTACGAGAGTCTGAAAATGTAGCATTTCTTTTATGTTTTATCATTATATTTCTAATATTTTCATCTGAATTTAAGATTTTGGGTTAATTTTGGAAAATGGGGGTCGTCCCAGAAAAAAAAAAAAAAAAAAAAAAAAAATTAAAATGTTATTATAGATAACCCCCTTCAGCTTTCAAAATATTATTTACCCCCTCAACTTTTCTCACTTAACCCCCTAAACTAATATAATTTAAATCTAAGGAACAAATGATTTAAAATGACTATACTATCCCTAAGACATTAAAATTCTTTACCACAGTTTTCCTTTTTAACTTCTTTTTGGTTACCTCTTCTTATTCCTCCATCTTCATTGCTATGTTCATGTGCAAATCTATTCTTTTCTTTCTTTTTTAAACTCTAAAGTTCTTTTATTTTCTATTTTATCCATGCTTATAATGTTTGAAGCAATTGAAACTTTTTTTTTTCTGAAGATTAGTTTCCTTATCAAAACCCATCGAACCGATGATTGGGTTGGGTTTTTACACTCACATGAATTGTTTTTCAACCAAGGGTATTTTAATCATTGGATATTTCAAATTAATAATATTATGGGGGTTATTTGAAAAAATTAGAAAGATAAAGGGTGTTTTGTGAGACACGGCATAGTTAAGGGGGTTTTCGTCGTATTTTGAAAGTTGAGGGGTTTATCTACGACACCCTCAAATTTGAGGGGGGGTTTTCTAAAGATAAAATAGCTAAGGGGAGTTTTCTGAGACAAGCCCTATAGTTGAGGGGGGTTTTCTAAAGTTAACCTAAGATTTTTGTTTTCCGTTAATTGTTGTCACTTTATGTCTGATGAAAGGAAATTTATATTATATCTAGGCCCTTTCAGAATGAATGCAAAGGCTAGTTCTTTCTTTGATCAGTATGATATTGGAATCTACATACAGTGATACTGTATCCCCGCCAACTCTGTTGCATAGTTTATTTTACTCATATTATTGTAAAGGAACATAGTGTATTATGTCATTCAGGGTAGATTTTTGTTTCTGAGACTTCCAATTTAATATATTTAAGTTATCAACTGATGTCATTTTTTCACTAGTCCTCGTGTTAATGAAATTTGGTTGAGATATGTGAATAACAACACAGGTAAGTTGATGGGTGAAAAATTGGTGTGTCAATTTAGCTAGCAACAGCATCATTACCTACTTTCAGTGGCTCTTTTTGGGGATCATTGTAGACATGTGGCTATATATATTTCCTATAATTTCATGAAAATGATTATATTCCATGTGGTTGTTAGACTCTTAGTTTCTTATGCTTGTAAACTTTAAGCCTGTGATATGTAGACTTTAAGCCTGTGATATGTGGACACCTCCCAATCAAAAAAATGGCTTGTCTGCCTAGTGAACATGCACGTCCAGCTGTGCCATGTGCTTTCATATCTGTAGACATCTGTTCACCTTAAAAACAAGTGTAGGATGAAGCAATATTTTTCCTCCTTTGACAAAATTTGGTTTATATATCATTTTACTATTTTGGTCTATTTCATTTGTGAATTATATTCCGAGACGTATACTTACTGATATGCATTCATATTAAAAAAAAGGTATATATGTATCCTTGGACTCAAGTCTAGAATTTGAACAGCTTCCGCAATAGCTACCTCAAGTACATATCGAGTACGCTCATAACTACGTTTGAAAATTGCAGTTTATAGCTAATTATAGTGCAAGAGATGAGACACATATATCCTTAATGGTTTTGACTTCATTCAGTGTGTTAATTTTATATGAGATGTGTATCTTCCTTATGTTGGTAGGTTTGGGAAAAGTTGTTAACTTGACCAACTTTTTTTCCTTCTTTATAATATCTTTAAACTTGTAGTCTTGGGAAATTAACGATGAAATAGTTGTAAAAAAAGGCTACCTATAATTTCTATTCGACGTAGTGAAGGGTGGTGAGAATCGTGAGATGGAAAGAAATTTTATATTACTGCAGAGGGAGCTGAAGTTTTTGAACTTTGTTGTTCACTAGAGCTTCATGGTTAGTATTTAACTTCGTTTGACTAAAATTTATGTAGATCTGTCATCGGTAATGCATCACACATATGCTTGTCAAAGGAAAGTTACTTTATGCAATGATTCATCTTTCCTAAAGATAAATCTGTAAATAAGAATGCTGATCTATGCTTGAAAGGAAAGAATTCTTCTTTTACTCTTGGCATGTTTGGCTCTCTGCATAATATTTAGAAGTAAGCCATGCTTTGTTAGTATTTGTTTAGACTTAAGTTTACATCTCAAGTAACCTATCCCAATATATGGGCTTGAAATGATGCAGATTTCTCGCAAATGGACACATAACATAACCACTGTATTGTTCTTTGGATTTGGGCTTTGGTCTATCTGGGAAGGATTTACTGAAGAAGGGTACATGCATCTGCCCGCTCCGATTTTTTGTATTTGTTTGAGTTTTGGATATGCAGTTAAAATTGATTTTGATAACCATGGTTGTATTTTGATTGCTAGGGAAGCTGAGGAGTTGAAAGAAGTAGAAGCCAAGCTGGTTGGTGATATTTTCTCCTGCTGCGAGTTCTTTCAGTCTATAAACTCACACACTGACATGTCTGAAATGATTAGGGTGCTGAATGGAAAGCAGATTCAGGAGTAGCCAAACGAAATTCTGAGGTCAGTTGCAAATTACTATTAAAATTTGATTTCTGCATATACTCTAATTAAAAAATTTACTCCTTTTCTGCACCTTCTTTTGGTTATCTGACTACCCATTTTATTCATAAAATGATCCTCCATTCGCAAGCGGTGGGTTGTAGATGTGATTGACACCTAAAGTTGTTACTGCTTTGTGTATACTACAATACTCTCCTTCCATTTGCTTTAAGATAGAAAGGGAAATATCTTTTTACCAGTTATGATTCTGATTTTCTCATATCTTGAGGATTTAAATTCAAACACTTGCTGGCCACCAGGGCTCCAAGTTGATTCTTTGTTGTTCAATTATATATTAATTATTTTTTCCTTGTTACATATGTTAGCTTGACACGATTTGTCATTCATTTAACAAGTTACAAAAGCTACAAATTTAAAATGACTGTAGCTTAGAATCTCATTGGTTGTAAGTTTGGCTCTTAAGCTAGAACTCATGGTTAAGGTTTTACATTGTCTGTTCTTCAGAGAAATCCTAGGGAGCACGATCTAGAATCTAGTAATCATCAGAAGCCTTTAAATACAATGGTTCTGTGCTTTGTATCAAATGTAAAATAATGTTATTGTCTTTTACCTCTAAACTCAATATAAATCTACTCCTCTATACAAATGGGAGAACCCAAGATTCACTATTCATGTCACAGTAAATGCTACAGTAACAGTTACTATAGCATTATTACTATAGCAACACGGAACTGGAGTGTCAGCTGGCCTGCAACCGCTCATACCAGTCTCCTTAAGGAGATCAAGAACATACTTCCGTTGGGAGACAAAAATCCCTTTCTTCGACCTAGCAACCTCCATGCCAAGGAAATACCTCAAAGATTTTAAGTCCTTGATCTCAAATGTTGATGAGATGGAAGTCTTCAATGGATTCATCTCAAGCACATCATCTCTAGTGAGAATTATATCATCTACATACACAATTAGTATGGAAATCTTCCCATCTTGTGAATGTTTGAAAATCATCGTATGATCACCTTGCCCTTGAGAATACCCTTGACTTTTAATGATGAGTAAATTTCTCAAACCAGGCTCTTGGCAACTGGTTAAACCTGTATAAGGACTTTTTCAATTTACACACCTTTGTGTCGACCTTTTCACCAAATCCAGGGGGTGCATCCATGTACACTTCTTCCTCCAAATCTCCGTTGAGAAATGCATTTTTTACGTCCAACTGTTGCAGGGACCGGTCAAGATTAACTGTAAGAGAAAAAAACTCTCATGGAGTTTAGCTTAGCAATTGGGGCGAATGTCTCCAAGTAATCAATGCCGTAGGTCTATGAGTGAACCCCTTGGCTACTAGTCGAGCTTTGTACTGTTCTAGAGAGTCATTTATACTTGACAGTAAACACCCATTTGCACCCTACAGTTGTCTTCCCTCTCTGTAGATCAAATAATTCCCATGTGCCATTTTTTTCAAGAGCTTTCATCTCCTCGAAGACAGCCTCCTTCGACTCAGGAACTTTCAGAGCATCTTGCACAGTATTAGGAATCTCCATACAAGACAATTGTGTGGTAAAAGCACGAAAGACGGGTGAGAGATTTTCATGACACATATTTGGACAATGGATGTTGGGTACAAGACCTCGCACCCTTTCAGATGGCAATGGGAAGATTAGAATCATCAAACTCTGGAGGGTTTATGGATTCTGGGCAGTGCAAAGGATTAGAAGACCCTTTCTTTTGAGTTATCCTCTGTCACGAGTAGACAATATCAAATGGTATTAATGCTGTAGTTTTTCCCCTTTTTCTTCTTTGTTAGTTGTTATAGGGTCATGAACATCATGAGATGGCACTGTAGGAAGACCTGTGCTTTAAGTATCTAAAACACTTGACCCACTTTCCCTTGGTATAATAAGGCTTGGATTTTCAGGTTGAATAATCAAGGTTGAGGAAGGGTCATTTTGTGAATCTTCGGTTTGGAAAAAATCATAAAAAAACGAATCTTTATTTTTGTTCCCCCCTAAAGATGAGGCGTGAAATAGAGAATTAATTCAAAAAATGTAACATCCATGGTAACAAACATTTTCTTTGAAATGAGTTCAAAACATTTATATCCCTTTTGTGTTGGAGCATATCCAACAAACACACATTTTGTGGCTCAGGGTTCAAGTTTCCTTGATTATGATTATCAATATGAACAAATACGGTACATCCAAATATTTTTAATGGTAAAAAAAAGAAAGTCTATTTGTAGGAAATAACTTATGAAAAGCATCAAAAGGTGTTTCAAAGTTTAAGGTCTTATTAGGCATTCTATTTGTGAGGTATGTAGCAGTAAGAACAGCTTCACCCCAAAGATATTTTGGTACCTGATTGGTATAAAGTAATGCCTGAGCTACTTCCAACAAGTGTTTGTTTTTTCTTTCAGCCAAACCATTTTATTGCGGAGTGTCAATACAAGAACTTTGATGACCAATTCCTTGTTTGAGGAAAAATTAGCCCATAACATTCTTGAAATATTCTTGACCATTATCACTCCGCAAAATTTGAATATTTTTTTGAAATTGCGTTTGTACCATGATGTAATTTTTTTTGAAAATTGTTTCCACTTCAGATTTTTCCTTCATCATATAAACCCAACTTAATCTCGTGTGATCATCAATAAAGGTCACAAACCATTTTTTTGCCAGAATATGTAGATGTTCTATATGGACCCCAAATATCACTATGAATTACAGTAAATGGTGTAGTTGGTTTATACGGTTGGGGGGAAAAAGATGCACGATGATGTTTAGCAAACTGACAGACTTCACATTGAAAAGAAGATGGACTTTTATTTATAAATAAAATTGGACACAAGTATTTTAAATACTGAAAACTAGGATGGCCTAACCTATAGTGCCATAACATAATATCATTATCTTTGGAAAAAAATAGAATTTAAGCAAGTACTTTGACATCGTCTACTCAAGTCAGGTCCATCGTCAAAATAATAGAGTCCATCTTTTTCCTTAGCACTGTCAATCATCCTCCCTGTGGTCAACTCCTGAAACTCACAATAAGAAGAGTAAAAATTAGCTTGACACTGATGATCAGAAGTAATTTTACTGATGGACAATAGATTGCAAGACAAATTGGTAACGTGGAGCACATCATGAAGGGTTATCGATGAAGTGAGTTTGATAGTTTCTATCCTGGCAATTATCGAGAGTGAACCATCTGCAATTTTAACCTTTTTATTGCCTGCACAAGGACTATAGGAGAACATTTTAGAGCAACCAGTTATATGATCAGTCGCACCAGAATCAATTATCCAAGAATGAACAGAATTAGGAACACCTAAAAATGCAGCGACAAGAGAGTTACTCTTCTAAACCAAAGAACAAGATGGAGTTAAGGACAGTTTTGGAGATTGAAACAATTTATACAGGTGCTCTAATTGTTCCTCGGTAAAAGGAACCGCATCTGAGTTGGTAGAAGGCTCTGAAGTCTCTTCAGTAGTGACTTAGTAGGCACGACCATCACGTTTGGATTTCGGCTTCCAATTCGCTGGTTTACTATGGAGCTTCCAATACGTCTCCCTCGTATGCCATGATTTTTTGCAATGGTCACACCATGGCTTTTTTCGCTCGTCATTGTCGAAATCAACACCTCTTGACACAAGGGCAGAGCTTTCAGATTCAGTGTTAAAACCAGGTTCTGTATTGTTCATCATGATTTTTCTCCTTAACTCCTCATGTCTAACCTCAGAAAATACTTCCCGAATAGAAGGCAATGGCTTCCTGCCAAGAATGCGGCCTCGAACTTCGTCCAAACTCCGATTAAGGCCGGCTAAAAACATATAAACTCTGTCGTTTTCCCTCTCTTCTTGTGGCGAGCGTAGTCATTCGAATTTTCCCAAACATCATCATAACACTGATCCCTGCCATAATGTTACCAATTCGTTGTAATAAGTGGTAACATCACGATCATTCTGTTTGGATTTTCAGAAACGAGTTTTCAACTCAAAAATCTGAGAAGAATTCTCTAGGTCTGAATAAAGATCTCGAATGGCCTCCCAGACATCTCGAGCAGTAGGAAGAAATAAGTGAGGCTTTCCAATGGCAAGTTCCATGGAATTGATGAGCCAAGCAATAACAAGAGAATTTTCGGACTGCCATTTTTTCAGATTTGGATCACCAGTAGTAGGTTTTGAAATTTCTCCAATCAAATGCCCGATTTCCCTTTGCCATCAACCGCCAACTTTACGGACTGAGCCCGTTCGAGATAGTTATGTCCGTTGAGTTTTATACCTAAGAGATAAATGGCCGAATTCTGGGAATAATAATCAGCAGATACAGACATGGAAGAAACAGTAAGGTTGGTCAGAATGGGTTCAGAAATACCAGAAGAACCGAAAGAGGTAGTAGGGTTTCTTTGAGTGCCGGTCATCGCCGACTTGTACAACATCATTAATAGTAAGAAGAAAAAGAAAAAAAGCATTCAGCTCTGATACCATGTAGTTTTTTTAGAAGAAAAACATCTCATACTTCTTAAATTTTCATTAGAAACGAGTACAATTAAATAGCAGAGAAAGACCTCAAATCAGGAATCCCACCAAATCAGGAAATTCCTCAATAAGTCAATCTCTAGGCTAGAAAATAGGAAACTAACTGTAAATCAAATCTGAAATAGTAATTTCAGATTTTATTTTATTTTTATATAGAAAATCCTAATTTATATCCTAAAAATCCAACACTCTTTTATTTTAGTATTATATATTATGTAATCTTTATTTTTAGGTAATATCTTTTTAGGATTTGATTTTAGGATCATGTAGAATCTTTGAGAATTTACTTTGTTAGAGATTTTATGTTGTTTCATTTTAGTTAGGATTTGATTAGGATTTTTATTTGCTTCCTTAATTGTTTAGATACTTACTTTTTCTATAAATAAGAGATGTAATCCTCCATAAGGAATAAACAATTGATTAGTAAAAATATTAAGTTATGAGAATTCTCTCTTCAGCATGTGAAACT